TTGGACCTAAGACACTGCCTTGGGGAACACCACTATTAACATGTACAGGATTTGATAGAGCGCTTCCTATTTTGACCACTTGTCTGTTTGACAGGAAGGCAGCTATCCATTTATGTAGGAATCCAGAAATGCCATAGGATTTTAGTTTTAGAAGTAATTTGTTGTGTACCACTGAATCAAAAGCTTTACAGAAGTCTATGTAAACTGCATCTATTGCTTTGCCCTGATCGAGATGTGTAGTCCATATGTTTTTGCAATGTAGTAGTTATAGATTACAGGATAATTTTTTTCTGAAACTGAATTGTTTGTTAGAAAGTAGGTTATTTGTCTCTAGGTGTAGGGTAACAGATTGGTTAATGATTGATTCCATGATTTTGCAGGTGACGCAACATAAAGAGATTGGTCTGTAATTTTCAACTAGGCTAGGGTCTCCCTTTTTGAAGATAGGGATGACCCTGGCTTGTGACCATTGGTAGGGCAAGGTGCTGGTACTGAAAGATTTTTCAAAAATTATGCTTAGAGGTTCTGCAATTGCAGTGGAAAGCTTTTTTAAGAATTATGCACATAGTCCATCAGGTCCAATAGATAGAGATGGTTTAAGATTGTGTAGTGCCTTTTCAACATTGTCTTCTGTAAAATCAATATGTATAAGATCACCGTAATCATTGTAATTGTCTGTAGTACGACTGGGAAATATTGGGTATGTGTCATTGCTGTTTACAAAGACTGAGCTGAAGAACGTGTTAAAGATATTGGCTTTAACGGTTTCATCAACACACTCTTCATTGTTTGTGTTAAATAGTGGGCGTAGGAAGGACACTTCAGTAAGTCTTCAGAAAGACTTCAGTAACAGCTCTTTATTAGCTCCAGTACAGCAATGGATTGCCTAGCCACGGCAGCCCCTTTTAAAGGAAGCTGTCCGCGGCTTCAGCCATTGACGTGCTTCTAAATCTCCCGCTCTATTTACTCACTTCTAATTGGTCCATTTGAATTTTCATTCAATACTCCACACCCCTCCCCTCTAGATCAATATTAACCAATCCTGGAGTCTCTCAAGCCACGTAGTCGCATAAGTAGGCGGGCCTTTTCGGGGCACGACTGGACCTGCGCAGTTCAGTTGTTCCAGCGATCTTGGAGTGAGAGGTCGAGTTCTGTGTCTCTCCTGGAGGTGCCTCCGGAACTCTCTCAAACTCTGCTGCTGGTGTGGGCTTATTCTGTTGGATGTTCCTTTCTTGTCCCCCCAGCTGGAACGATGGACTGTTGTGGTTATCGATGACTCCCTCCTGGACTCCAGATAAGTGTTCGCTGTCTCCAGTTGGACTTGAGTGTTGTCCCCGTTGTTCTTTTGGTGATGTTTGGTGTCAGGCCTGATCTGTTTCTGTGTGAATTTCTTTTTTTCTTCCCTGGGTTCCTTCTTGTGTTTCGTGTTCTCTCCTGACTAGTCGGCCCCTGAGCTGATCTATGTGTCTTTTCCAACTCCGACCATCCTCTGTTTCTGTCCTGTAGGACAGGGGCCCTGTGATCTGAGTTATTTCTGCTGGGACCCATAGGGGGTTTCCACTAAAGTTCTTAGCGTACACCTTATCCCCCACTTGGAACTGTCTAGTCTTGCTGGTTGAGTCAGCTGGCTTCTCTGTACTGTAATGGGGGTGAAGTCTATCTAAATTGGATCTTAGCTTCCTTCCCATTAGCAGTTCCATGGGGCTTCTGTGTGTGGTGGCACTGGATGTGCTGTGCTGTATGCTCAGTAGCTTATCAATTTTCACTTGTATGTCCCCTGGTCCCAGTCTTACTAAGGTTTCTTTCGTCGTTCTCACCATTCTTTCAGACAATCCATTCGTGGACGGTTTCCCTGGCGCGGATAATGTGTGTCAGATGCCTTGGCTGACTAAGAACATTTTGAATTGGTTAGCCGTGAATTGGGGTCTGTTGTCTGAGACTACAGGTCGGGTAATCCATGTGTTGCAAATAGTCTCCGCAGAGCTCAGATGACTGCTTCTGTCATCGTTGATGTCATTAACTTTACCTCTAACCATTTAGAGTATGCATCAACGATGATCAGGAATGTGTTTCCCTGGCATGGTCCTGCAAAGTCTATGTGTATGCAGGACCACGGAGCCCCGGGATTCTCCCAATCGTGTGTGGGTGCTGTGTGTGGTGCTGGATGGGATTCCTGGCATGGTGTGCAAATTGATACCCATGTCTCTATTTCTTTGTCCATCCCCGGCCACCAAACATTGTGGCGCATTGCCAGCGCCTTCATTTTCACAATCCCCAGATGTCCCTCACGTAACAAGTCTAAAACGTCATTTCTTTATGCTTTTGGGATTATTACTCTATCCCCCCACAATAAACACCCTCTTAATCCTGAAAGTTCTGTTTGCCTCGTCTTGAATGGTTGGAGTTTAGTGTCTATGTGTGTCACAGGCCATCCCTTCCAGACCCAATTTAAAACATGCGCCAAAGTTCTGTCCTTAGCTGTTGCTCTCACGATGTCCGTAGCCGAGATTTGAGTGTTCTCCATAGTTTCTATCAGCAGGGTGGTTGTGACTGGTGCTGGGTCTTCTACTGGTTCCAGAAGCGGGCATCTGCTGAGCGCGTCAGCATGGTCGATGGTCTTCCCCAGTTTGTACTTTAGTTGGTAGTCGTATGCTGCGAGGAATTCCGTCCACCTTAGCATTCTCGGGGATAGTATGGGAGGCGTAGGTTTATCTCCCGCGATGATTCCCAGGAGTGGCTTGTGGTCTGTGATGAGTTCGAATTTTCTTCCATATAGGTACTCATGGAACCTTTTAATGCCAGCTACAGTGGCCTGGGGATCTAGGTTAAATGATATTGGGGACCCCGTGTACATGCCCAATTTGCCGTCAAAGACGTCTGCGAAGTCCCTCATCAGATCCTCTTCCCAGCCGTTGTCTTCAATCTGATTGATTCCGGTCACTGCTAGTCCCAAAGGCTCGAACCACTCCAGACCTAATAGGCTAGGTCTGTCCCGGTCCACTATGGTGAGGGGCAGTTTTCCTTGGAAGTCCTTGAATTTTATGTTGAACTTTCCAATGCCCAGCACTGGAATCCGGTTGCCCTGGTAATCTTTCAGGGTGAGTCGTTGATGCTAGAGTGCGCTGGTCATGAGGCTGGGAATTAATTGGTTGATGGTCATCCAGGAGACCATGGAGAGGCATGACCCTGAGTTGACTTCCATTTTGCAGGGTCTCCCCTCAATGTAAACGGTTGCCACCATCTTCTTTGACTTTCCCACGCTCGCGTGGCCGACTATTATTGTTTGATGGGTTTCCCCTCTCTCCGATCCATAGTCCTCGCTCCTGCGGTTTCTTCCAAATGTCTGTTTTCGGTTTCCTGCTTGGAATTGTCTGGTTCTTGGTGGCGGGCTGGTTTGTCTGTTCCTGCGGGATGCTGGCTGAGATGCCCTGCAGGCCCTTGCTACGTGCCCTTTCCAATTGCACCTCTGGCAGATTGCGTCTCACAACCTGCACTCCATCTTTGGGTGATTCCCTTCGCATCCTGCACACCAGAACTCCTTCTTTCCTTTCTCCTGGGGTCTCCCCTTATGTTTTGAGCGGAGGTGATGAACTTCGTCCCCATCCTTTTCTTCCGATTCGGTTTCTACCTCCTCGTAGTGGATTGAGGATTCTTCCTTTCCTTGCGGCCCCTTGTTCATTTTCTTCATTGCGGCTGCGGATTTCTGGGATGCCTCAGTCGCTGTTGCTTCCTCCAAAGCCTCTTGAAATGATATTTTGGGTTTGGTGAGTAAACGGGTTTGTAACATGAGGTCTCTCAGCCCCAGCACTAAATGGTCCCGCATAGCCTCGTCCATATTTAAGAATTCACAAGCGGTGGCTATTTCACGTAGTGTCGCCAGAAACTCGCTTATTGATTCTCCTTCCTTCTGGTCCCTCCGGTAGAATTCATGCCTTCTTACCAGGGATAAAGCTTGGGGAGCGTAGTGCACTTTCAGGATGTTTTGCAGGGTTGTCCAGGTCATCGTTCTCAGCTCTGCCGGTGAAGCTAAGGCTTTTGCCATTTTGAAAACGGCGACTCCGCAGTGTGTGAGGAAGAGTGCCCTCTTTCTTTGTTCTGATAGGCTTAGCAAGCCATTTCCTTTCAGGAACATGTGGAATCTTTCCATGTACGATTCCCAGTCTTCTCCAGCCAGGTTGAATGGCGCGGGTGGCATGATCAAAGACATTTTCTGGCCGTTGCTTTCGATGGCCGCTGATTGCCTCGTAGAGCTTCAGTGACTTGGTGTCCGATTGTTCTACTGAGATCCCACCTTCATCGCCAGTGTTAAATAGCGGGCGTAGGAAGGACACAGGACACAGACTTCAGTACTAGCTCTTTATTAGTTCCAGTATAGCAATGGATTGCCTAGCCACAGCAGCCCCTTTTAAAGGGAGCTGTCCGCGGCTTCAGCCATTGACGTGCTTCTAAATCTCCCACTCTATTTACTCACTTCTAATTGGTCCGTTTGAATTGTCATTCAATACTCAACAGTTTGGTACTCTTAGGGGTGGGATGGATCTCGAGTCTTTAAGTTTGTTGTTTACAAAATTATAGAGGGCACAGGTGGATTATTTGTTGACATAAGTTTTTGTAGCAATTTTTGAAGCTAGCTACATAGTTCGTTTTGTTTTTTTGCCAAAGAGATTTTTTTCTGGATTGTAATTTCCTTATTGTTATTGGTAGTTTATTTTTTCTGGTTTTGTGGGGTATTAGTGGTACGTAAAGTTTAATGATTCTTTTGACTTCACACAAGAAAATGTTGTAATGGTCATCAGCAGTATTACAGCCAGAGAATAGATTTTGCCAATCAAGATATGAGAGTTCATTGTCTATGAGATCACAGTTGGCTTTTTTAAAGTTATAACTGAGAATCCCATCATTATGATGATTTTTGAGAGGGCGTAAATTGAGACAAAAGTCAATCATGTTGTGGTCACTGTTGGAGAATGGTTCTTTTATTTGTAGTCCATAAATAGAATTTAAACCTGGAACTCGAGCAGTTTCAACTCCTCATTGTCCAAGGACTGCAAAGCATAAAGTTTTCCACTCTCTGAATGTATAGAAATGTAGCTTATGGCCAGAGCTTCCCATCTATCCAATAGGTGATCAGAGCATTCTCAGCAACATCTGGGTCTGAGGCAGATACTGTGAAGATGTGAGCACCAGGGGGATTGTTCTCCTTCACAAAGACTGTGTAGGAGAGTTGAGTGAAAGCTGGAGCATTGTCATTTGTATCACTGATTGGTAATATCAAGATACTGCTAGCTGACAATGATGGGACTCCTTGATCTTCTGTTTTCACCATCAGCTGATACTCAGCAACTTGTTCCCGATCCAACAATTCAGCAACCATTAAAGAATAGTAATTCTTGAAATTGGATATAAGTTGGAAGGGTACCCTAGGAGGCCAGAGTGAGCAATGCATTTGTCCATTGTCTCCTGTGTTCCTATCTGCAACACTGATTAGGACTACTACTGTCCCCAATGGTGAGTCCTCTAGCACTGGCACTAAGAGTGATGAGACAAACAACTCCAGTTCACTGTAATTTACATCCAGCAGTTCAATTATCAGTTGGCAATGCCCTGACAAAGGAGGTAACCCTTTATCTTCTGCTTCAATGTGAAGATCATATATAGCAAGGTCTTCAAAATCAACCCCTCCTTCTACAATTACTACAATTCCCCTGTGTTGCAATTTATGCTAAAAAGTTTCCGAAAATTTAGTGGTACATGATTAGTAAAAGAATAATAAATTTCCTTATTCATTCCTTCATTTAAATCTGTGGCATTCACTTTAATAACTAGTGTTCTAACTGCTGCATTTTCTAACTATTTCAGCTTGTAAATTGATGGATTAAACACAGGAGGGTTGTCATTTACATCCAGCACATTGATGACTAGGTGAACAGTTCCTGTGAGTTTTGGTTCACCCCCATCAGTGGCTGTCAGTACTAAATGATGAACAAAGATCTCCTCCCTATCCAGTGGCTTCTTTAAAACAATTGCTAAGGGTTTGTTGAATTTCTCATCTGTTTTCTGTTCTACAATGAAATATTCATTGAGGCTGAGTTTGTAGGTTAGCAGAGCATTAGTACCAATATCTGCATCAGAGGCACCCTCTAAGGGGAACTGGGCACCAGATGCTGTTATCAGTTCTGCTATGCTCAGGACTTGTTCCTTGGCTGAGAAAATGGGAGCATTGTCATTCATGTCTTTGACTTCAACCTCCACATGGAAGAATCTAAGAGGTTTCTCCACAATCACCTCCAGATGAAGGACACAGTCTTGACACACAGCTCCTCCCTGTCTATCTGGGAATTTACAAACAAGATCCCATTCTGCAGGTTTACCTCAAAATAGTCCTTCTCTCCTTTGGACAGCATCCGGAACATCCGAGGCACCAGCTCGCTCACCTCCAACCCCAGATCCTGGGCGATGCGGCCCACAAAGGTGCCGTGCTGGGATTCCTCCAGCACAGAATAATGGAGCTGGTTGCTCCCCATTTTCCAAGTGGTATGGAGCAGAACCAGCTATATCAGCCAATTTGCCACAGATTCATTTTTCCAGACAATCATTGTAAATACAGGCAAAGAGATCAATAGTGTTTTTTCTTTCCTATACATCCATCTCTTACAGAGACCCAAGACCAGATTCAGAGGAGATATCCAAACCAGCACTTACAAAATAATTCAAATTAATTCCAGTGTTCTTGCAGTCTGGGCTGAATATCATTATATATATGACAAAAAGAATTTTTTGGCAGTCCTCCTCCTCCTCCTCATTTATTTCCTGAGGCAACAGTGACCTCTAGTGAAGGCATTTTGAAACTGAGAAGATGATAAAAAACATTTATGGTCCGGTCCTTCTGTTTGTTTTTAAATTATGGTGACCAGATGTCCCGCTTTTGGCAGGACAGTCCCGATTTTTAGCAATTTGTCCCGCGCGTCCTGTGGCGTTTTAAAAAAGTCCCGATTTTTGGAAAGAATGCAGGACAAGCTAGGGAACGGCAGGAGAACAGGAAGGGAATATACGGTTTTCACTCACCCTTACCCTCTGCCTCTGTTGGATCACTGGTCCCCGTTCGCTTACCCCGCCCACTCCCAATCTATTGCTGAGTCCCAGCTGATGGCTAGAGGGAAAAAACTGTTTAAATTCTTGCTGCAGGGCTTCAAAGGGCCGCCCTACAGCTGATCAGTGTTAAAAGAAAACAAATGAGTAGACTGGTGCCTGCAAAAACAGCCCCTTTCAGCTTCAGCATAGGTTAATTACCATAAGTTGATTGAATCAGCCTCCCGACTGTCAGCTGATTTGCTCGCAGCTGTTTTGCTCAGGGCTCTGTAGCTGCAAAGAGAGCTGGAGCAGTTTTTTTTTCCCCTAGCTATGCTGAAAAAGTGAAACTGAAAGTAAAGCAAGGTCTTTGCTGCAACGTGACAAAATGAGGAAGAGAGAGATTTCTTTTTCTTTTTCCTCACCAAAAAAGGTAGGTGCAAAACTGCAAACAATGGGAAATTTAGAGCAAAAGAGGAGGTTCAAGATTTTAAAACACAAAAGAAAAAAGCTCTATTTAACTACTAGGGAATTGTAATAATTGAGATACTATTAATTGTATATTGTGTTGAAAGCAGAAATGGTTAAGTTGTGGTTTGGAGGAATATATGGGGGAAATTATTTGGTTTATTATTATTGGTAAATATAATTAATTAATTTGTAAGAAATTGGATTGCATGGAAATAATTGGAATATTCATGTTCATATTGATTAATATACAAAAAAGATAGTTATATAACTAATTGATTTATATTAAAATGTTGAATTTGTATTAAAAACTGTATTACATAATTACATAATTAACCAATGTGAGGATGGATATAAAAATAGATGACAATGGGAAGGGGTATATTATAGAATAGAAGGGAAAAATTGAATTTGATTAAGATTAGAGATGAGGATGAAGGGTAATATTGGTTTTTTAAAAAAATAGATGAGGAATAAATATGGCAAAAAGGAAATATAGAAATTGTAAATGACTAAACACTGTTTAAATTTGTGAACCGGCCAAATATTCTGTTCAAAGAAAATACATTGTATGTTTGTATGTGTGTTTCTAATTATTGCTATTTATTCATATTTGTTCTCTTTTATTCTTTAAAGTTTAACAATTCATTCTTTATTTTAATATCTTTATATTTGTTTGGGGTTGGTTTTCTTCCCTTTCATCTTTTTTATTGTACAGCAATCTTTCTCCTCAAACCTACCACCTCTCTCTTTTCCTTCCTTCTTACTTTCTCTTCCCCCCTCTTCTTCTCCTCCCTACTTCCTCTTCCTTTCTCCGTCTCCTCCTCTCTTCCTCCCTCTCTTACTGTCAGGTATGCTTCCTTCAAATTCCAGGAAAGAATGACCCAAACTCCATATTTATAGAGATTAGTACTTTTACTGAAAATGAAGTGATCGCTACCCAGGTAAAGCTGGAACTAAGCAAAATGCACAAAATTGCATCTAGAAAGCATCTCCCCCCCTTCTGTCCATCGTCCATCATCCAATCCACAGGTCTCCCAAAGGTCAGGTGGAATCACGTCTGGCAGCGTCATCTATCAGGAATGTAATGACGGTTGGTCTGACTGCTCCTTTGGAGAATCACTTTCGTTTCAGGGAAAAACTCCTCCTGCCTTCTTCCCCCCCCCTTCGCCCCCCTAACTGTTTCCCACCCGTTTCTTATGGCAGCTGAAGCAGTGAAAGCGGAGGCTGACATTCGGCCCCTCTGCAGAAAAGACGTTAGTCCTAGAATAGAAAAAAAAAGAAGGAAAAAGGGGAAACAAAATATATACAATATATATACAGAAATTAGGGTTTATCTGGATATTTGGTGTAGAATTGTTGTATTTTCTTTGAGGCCCAAACATCCCGTTTATTCACCCATTCAGCTTGAGACAAAGGGAAATGTTTCCAGGCCACCAAGTATTGTACTTTACCATGGTGTTTCCTAGAGTCTAAAATTTCCTTAACTTCAAAATATTGCTCCCCCTCTATGAGTATGGGAACTGGAGGGGAGCTTTGGGTCGGCCTTAGAGGAGACGAGTGTTCAGGTTTTAGCAAGCTAACATGAAATACGGGGTGTATCCGTCTCAACGATTTTGGCAACTCTAATTCAACGGTTACTGGATTAATCAATCTAATCACACGAAATGGACCCACATACTTGGGACCAAGTTTCTTTGACTTTTGGGATGTTTGTAAGTATTTTGTGAAGAGGTAGACCTTATCCCCCACTTTATACACGTGTGCTGGGGACCTTTTCTTATCGGCCTGAGCCTTATGGGCTCGGTGTGCCTCATCTAACGCTTTTCGCGTTACTGCCCAGGTACTCCTTAATTGGTCAATCCAGTCAACCAGGGATGGGTTCTGGGGATCATCTTGAGGTAATTCGGGAATCGGTACGAAATCTTGGCCCGATGCTACTTTAAACAGAGTGAACCCAGTGCTACTGTGTATGGAATTATTATATGCCACTTCTGCAAATGGCAGTAAATCCACCCAATTGTCTTGTTGGTAATTCACGTAACATCTCAGGTATTGTTCTAAAACCCTATTGGTCCTTTCACAAGCCCCATTTGTTTGGGGTAGTGACTGGAACTTAGACCCTGGGCAGAGCCTATCAACTTCAAAAACTCCTTCCAGAAGTTGGAAGTAAACTGTACACCTCTGTCCAAAATTATTCTTTTTGGAGCTCCATGTAGTCGGTAAATCTGATGAATAAACAGTTTTGCAAGGGTTTTGGCTGAAGGGATTTTTGAACAAGGAATGAAATGCACTTGTTTGGAAAACAAATCTGTCACCACCCAAATGACAGTACACCTTCACTCTCTGGTAGGTCCACAATAAAATCCATGGATATTTCTTTCCACGGAGCATTCAGTCTAGCCACACTTTGAAGTAATCCAGGTGGCTTCCATGGAGGTCTTTTAGCCGAGGCACACACTGGACAGCTAGCCACATATGCCTCTATGTCCTTTTTGAGCACAGGCCACCAAAACTGTCTCTTAACAAGGTGTAAAGTTTTAACAAAAGCAAAGTGTCCCGCTGTCTTAGCGTCATGGGCATACTGTAACACTGTTGCTCTTAAACTGTCAGGAACATACAATTTTGCCCCAATCCACACTAGTCCATCACGGAGTGTACATTCATTCGAGTGGTTGTGAAACCACTCGTCAGTTTTCAGGGCTTCTCGTAATTTGAGAACCAAATCTTCCGAGAGCTCTGGCTCGACTTTTGCCTGTGCTCGGGTAGTAACTGGTGCTGCCAATTGTGTCGAAGGGATAATAGGCTGAACCACCTCCTTCTTGATGCTGTTGTACTGAGGCAATCTGGAAAGTGCATCTGCCATGAAGTTCTTTCCCCCAGGAAGGTAGCGTAGGGTAAAATTGAAATGATTGAAATGTTGGGCCCAACGAACTTGTTTTGGGGACAATTTACATGGTGTTTTTAACGCCTCCAAGTTTTTGTGATCAGTCCAAACCTCGAAAGGGTGCTTCGCTCCTTCCAAAAATGTCTCCATGTTAACAATGCCCATCTCACTGCGAAAGCCTCCTTCTCCCATATGGCCCATCTTCTTTCTGTTTCTGACAGTTTTTGGGACATGTAGGCACAAGGCTGCAGTTCCCCTTTTGCATTTTTTTGCAAGAATATTGCTCCCACAGCCACATCACTCGCGTCAGCCTGTACTACAAACGGCTGTTCCATGTCTGGGTGTTTGAGTACTGGTTCAGCTGCAAACAGTTGTTTCAACTTTTCGAATGCGGCTTGACAGTCCATAGTCCATTCAAGTGGTTTCGATGGTCTTGGTTTTACTTCACCCTTTGTTTTCAGAAGATTTGTAATTGGCAGTGCGATTTTGGCAAACGAGGGGATAAACTGTCTATAGAAGTTAGCAAACCCCAAGAAACTTTGTAGTTGTTTGCGAGTGCGTGGCGCGGCCCATTCCAATACTGCTCGAACCTTCTCAGGGTACATCTCTATTCCTTCATGCGATATGCGATATCCAAGATAGTTGATTTTGTCTTGGTGGAACTCACATTTAGAAAGTTTGGCATATAGTTCAGCAGCCCTGAGTTTTTTCAAGACAGTTCGCACCAATTTCACATGGTCGGCCATGTTGTCAGAGTAGATAAGAATGTCATCTAAGTAGACCAGCACCCCCTTATACAGGTGCTCATGCAAAACTTCGTTGATCAATTGCATAAATACAGCAGGGGCTCCCTGTAAGCCGAAAGGAAGCACTCTGAACTGGAAACATCCCAGTGGGCAATTAAATGCTGTTTTCCATTCATCCCCCTCTTTAATTCTCACTCAGTAGTATGCCTCCCTTAGATCAAGTTTGGTGAAAATTTTTCCCTTCCCTAAGTGGGCTAACATGTCCTTCATGAGGGGGAGGGGGTAAACATTCTCCACACAAATAGCGTTGATATTTCTATAATCGACCACCAGATGGAAGGAGCCATCTTTCTTTTCACAGAACATCACTGGTGCTGCCACCTTGGGCTTGGCTCGTTCGATGAACCCCCGTTCTAGATTTTTGTCAATAAAA